TTACAAATATTTTAGAAATGTTACTGAGTGTTTTTGTGTTTAAAATAAACATAGTTTTGTTTTCATTCTCACAACACCTGTGAGAGAATTGCCAATTGACAGTGGTGACTAATGAGACTTAGATAACTTCAGAAGGTCCTTGACTGGTAAATGACACTGCTGAAATTTAAATCCATATTTGGCTAATTCAAAATGTACATCCAAGTTGGAAATATTAAATGATTTCATTACATAATATTTTAAAACTCATTAGCACATACTCAAGGTACACAGTTTATAAACAAGACCTTTTCTCAGATTATTACCCTCTCTATGTAGATGGGGTATGAGAACATAGTGAACAAGCTCTAAAAAATGAAGACTGCCCCATAGTAGTACATAAGTATTCAGCATCAGACTTCAAGCCAATGGCCTTAGATAATTTGAGAAGAATCATACTACTCTGGGAAAAGCAAGATGCCTCCAATTCATCTCACTGGGCTCTTTCCCAAGATGGAAGTTTACACTTAAGTTCTACTAGTGAAGAACAGAGTTTTTCCAACCATTTTCCACTGTCTCCCTTTGAGTACTTTCACTAGTGGCCAAATTACTCCCTTCTTTTGTCCTAACATGCAGAGATTTAGTGCCAGTGTAAATCTGAGAGTTATTTCTTTACTAAAAAGCTAAAGAATTCAAAGCCAAAGAAATGAGCGGTTTTGTGCCTCCTAAGATCAAATGCCCTGTCTATACATTAACCTGTCCATACTAATTAAATAATATGTAAAACTCTGAGAATTAAAGGCTTATAAAATCTTCTGTAAAAGAGACCCTAGAAATCATCTAGGCAAAATTCCTCCCCAAAGAATAACTTCTTGTGTGATCTAGACTTTTCCAAAGACAAATCTACCTGTCATTAATCCACTTCATGCTTAGATTCCTTTCTGAGTTGCTGTACCTAATGCTGTGCATATCTACAGAAACTCAACTTGCCAACCAGGATGTACTGGATTCAATATTACCAACATTAAATCTACCTGGACCAAAGACTGGTGTCCAAGCAAAGGAAGGTATGAGTGGCCAATCTCCAGCCATGGAAACACTGGTCCAATGCCACTGGCTAAGCAGCTGTTATGCCTCCTTATTACTTGAATAACCAATCTCCCATGAAGTTCTGTGTCCCCAAACTCCACTTTCAAGGAAAGCTTTGAATTTCATGGTGCGCAACCCACTCTTTGTAGGGCAGATGCTAGGTAAACCTAGAAGTTAGAGCCCAGGCTTATCTTGAGCAACTCCGGGCTGTTGTTTCAGTTGTCCAGAATCCTTATGGCATCGGTAATGGCTTCTTAATACTTGACTTCTCTGAACACCTTTATACAAATAAATGACTAAAAAATGTAAGCTGTCGGCCTTTTTCTTGTGAAAATAGCCCAACATGCTCACTGTGAGCTAGCTGTATCTATCTTCTACTGATCCAAGTTGTACCTTCTGGAATTCCTGATACCACATCATAGCCTTTCTGTTATGTTTTCACTCAGTTCAAAGTGTTCTGTCTTTCAGGGAATGGTCCTCACTTCCAACAATGACCCCCTCACCAGATGTTTACTCTCCTATGAGCTAGATGCATTTCAGGAAGTCTACATCCCTCCTAAATGATCTCTAGCTACTCATCTCCCTGCAGACAGACCTAGTCTAAGCAAACACAGTTGATTGGCACAATGACTAACTTGTTCTGATTATAAATTCCTTAATTGTTTCTAGCAGTCCTGATGTATCATGAGCTTGTGGTCAACTTAACCACATAGGTAGTATTTCTGTATAAATTACCATTATATGTACTCTTATATATAGGTTTTTTCATTTAAATGGTGATCAGGTACATTATACTACACTTATCTATTGGTCTACAACTCTTTCACATCTTATTTCTGTTATGCTCAATATGTATGTGTATATATGTGTGTGTGTGTGTGTGTGTGTGTATATGTGTGTGTGTGTGTATATATATATATATATATATATATATATATTCCTCCTAAGTCTGGGTTAACTATGAATTCAAGAAGTATATAGGAGTAGTAATATGGTTCAAGTGTTCAGCCTGGAGTAAAAAGCTAAGGGGCAATAGCCAGGCTTTAAATTTAAGCCCCAGAAGTAGCACACACACACACACACACACACACACACACACACACACACACACACACACACACACGAAGCATGCATGTTTGCTTTCATGTAAGTCACTAAGAAAAATACTGAACAGAATATGATAAAAGAGAGAAATGAATGAAACTGTACCAGAAACACCTCCTCAGACACTTTGGTCCTCATCTGACTTTGTTAAGATACTGGAGTAAAGGAGCTAAGGTAATTATAATGTACCTATATGAACTCAAATGTATTTCTTTGTGTTATAAAAGTGTAGGAAAGTAAGTAAGTATGGACAATTGTTATACATTCTTATAAATAAATACTTCTGGGTTATGAAGTCCTTTCGGGGATAACTCTGGTTTCCCATTTCATTTTTAGAAGTTTACTGGAGCCCACGTGGCCAATGGACAGAGTAATTGCCTTTAAATGCCTCTACTTTTGTCACATAGGGTCAATCTCAAGCTCTAAATCTATTTAAATATAACTATTAGAGCTCTTTTTTAAAAGGAAAAACACCAGGGGTTATATCATTTGAAATAAAATAACAAGAAGAAAAAAATACATATTTCTTATATGTAAGATTATGCTACTAGGGCATCTATGTGGGAAAATATTTTTTACTATTTTTATTAGCATACATCAATAGTACAAGAGTATTTCATTATAATCCTATAGATGTATACAGTGTACTTTCAACATGTGCACATCCTTATCAAGGAAATGATATGCAAGTAAATTTACTAAGTGAATAGAAGGGCAAAAGCTAAAGAATAAAAGCAGAAAAAAAAATCTTTCCATACAGGAGACACCAAATATCACATTAACAGTTTATCAGGGCTCCAAATAAAACCTGTCAAAGATTCAAGCTTCTTTATCACTATTAAAATACAACTGAACAAAGAAAGACTACTATAATTATACCTATTTCCTGGTAATATATATGATGAATATCATTTTGAAAGGTGAATAAAAGTATGAGGATGAGAAACTGACACAATTTGATATAAGTAATTTACTTATAACAAATTCAATTTATTAAAATTCCTGAAAAACTAAACACAAATCAATATTTTTCCATTGGTTTAAGTCATTTTTACTCAAACTCACTAAGAGGAATGATTGATTTTTAAAGACCAGCAATGCTAATTGATCCAGGAGACCCCTTGGTACTTTTCAGAAGACTGATGAAAGAGAAACTTTGCTTTGATATTTACTAGGGAATAAACAGATTGACATATAGGAAAAAATCTCAGACTGTGTACACTTTCAAAAGGTTATCCTCAGAAATCAGAAAGGAAACTTTTAAGGAATCCACTGGTGTTGGATCAGGGTACCTCATAAAAAAGAGCTATACTTTTTTTTTTTTTTTTTTGGTCGGTCGTGGGGCTTGAACTCTGGGCATGGGCATGGTCTCTGCGCTGTTCAGCTGAAGGCTAGCGCTCTACCGCTTGAGCCATAGCACCACTTCCGGTTTTCTAGTGATTTATTGGAGATAAGAATCTCACGGATGTTCCTGCCTGGGCTGGCTTTGAACCTCGATCCTCAGATCTCAGCCTCCTGAGTAGCTAGGATGACAGGCGTGAGCCACCGGCACCCGGCTATACTTTTTTGTTTGTTTGTTTTGTTTTATTTTGGGTCCGGTCGTGGGCCTGAACTCTGAGCCTGGGCGCTGCCCCTCAGCCCTTCAGCTCAAGGCTAGTGCTCTACCACTTGAGCCACAGCGCCACTTCCGGCTTTTTTTTTTTTTTTTTTTTGCTTATGGGTGCTGAGGAATTGAACCCAGGGCCTCAAGCATGCAAGGCAAGCGCTTTACCACTGAGCCACCTTCCCAGCCTATACTTTTAATATTAGGAGTTATATGTCTGATTGCAAACATTATAAAGAGTTACTGTCCTATATGGGGAGAAAGCATCAGATCTGGATTACTAAAGATGGGATCTTTAAAATGATAATAATAAAACTCGACCCACAAGCTCACTGTAGATATCAGGAGAAACAATGGGGGTGAAAAATGAGAGAAATAATTGAAGTTAAAATGTACATATAGAGAGAGTGTGGAAGCATCTAATGCTTTTCCCAGTAGATACTAAGCTCCTGATTAGAATTAATCTTATCTTTTTTTGTACTTTGTGCCTAGTACAATCTCAGACTCACAGAATATTTTGATAATTGAGTGATGTGTAAATGAATGACCATCCAGAAACCATGGGAAAAAAGTGACTTTTTATGATTCTTGCACAAGATGCATTTTATAATATGTAAATTTAAGCTTTAAAAGTTTATACAAATCATAAAAAGCTAAATATTAGAAGACCAGATGTGTTTTATACACACGATAATTCTACATATACAAACATAGACAAGCATATATGCACAGTCATGCATTGCTTAATGATGGAAGCCTGGTCTGCAAAGGGGGTCATTACACACTGAGTGTGCTTACACAACCTAAGGAAACTACATCACCGCTAAAGTCTGAAACCTTACAAGACTGCCATCATATACTGACTAAGATATCGTTGTGTGTAGCAGGAAAATGTGTGGTTAATAGCTCAAATACATTAGAGAAACTGAAAACACAGAATGAACTGTGATCTCTCAATGGAACTAATCATAATCAAAGTACTTGAAGTGAAAAATGTATTTGTACTCAGGTGATTACCTAACTTAGCACTGCCCAATGTTTGCCGACACAATGCCTTTTCAGTGAGCTTTTGTTTCTTATGAACACAGTTTGAGTACTGTTTGCAATGTAAAAAATAAATAACTAAATAAAAATCTTCCTAACAATCAGTTGTCTGTCCTTGACAATTTGAGAAAGTGTACTAATTTTACACACAAAATGTCTGAGAAGAAGGAAAACTATTTACCTGGGTTTGTAGAGGCAATGATATAGAATCTTTGTTTGAACTCTTTTTGCTTGGATATAGATTCTCATCCCTGGGTCAAAATACAGAATAGAGGTGTAGGCTCTGAATGAGCATCTCTCTGGAAAGCTGAAATACAAAATACCAAGGCTATACAACAAGGACTCCACTTTGAGAATGAAAGAAAATTAGAGAGTTTGCTTCTAAAAGCTTTGAAAATTTTTCTGCTAAAATTAATAATGTCACAAACAGCAGTAAATGTACATTTGCTTCATTAAGCAGGTCTCTTTTACAAAGGCCAACAGAAATAATCTACACTTAGAGCTGAGCTTTTCTTATCAATCAACCAATTCTAAGTAAATATATCAATGGTAGAAAATATGCTTCCCACTTGAACAACTGGCCCATGCTGGGCAACAGTGGCTCACACTCGTAATCCTGGCTACTCAGGAGGCTGAGATCTGAAGATCTATAGTTCAAAGTGAGTTTGGGGAACAACGTCCATGAAACTCTTGATATCAAATTAATCACCAAAAAGCAAAGTAGAACTTTGGATCAAACGATAGAGCTCTATTCTTGAGCCAAAAAGCTCAGGGACAGCACTCTGGACCTGAGTTCAAGACTTAGGACTAGCAAAGAAGAAAAATAAGAAAGAAAGAGGAAAGAAGGAAAATGGAGAAGGAAGGAGGAGGAAGATGAGGAGGAGGAGAAAATAAACCTTACCCAGAAATACAAATAAACAATCCTTTAGTTTGAGTTTGAATACAACTAAAAGAGACAATGATTGAATGACATCTTCTTTTGTAGCTTTTTTTTTTCTTTTTTTTTTTCCAGTGCTGAGGAAACCTGGGGCCTTGCCCTCGCCAGGCGGGCGCCCTTCCACTGAGCTAAACCCCCAGCCCCTGAATGACATTTTCTTTAAGTAATAATAACAGAGAAATACAATTGAAATGTATTTCCTTTTAGAATTATGAATATCACAATTCAGTCTGTAAGTGTAATTGAGTATTAAAATATGTATTTATGATGGTCTAAGAGGAGACATCTGTCAACAGGATAGGTAAAAGAGGAGAAAGAAAGAAAAGTAAAAACTCAGAGAGGACAAGGGAATGGGTGACATTGTCCAAAAAGAAATATACTCATTACCTGACTTATACAACTGTAACCCTCTGTGCATCATCTTTACAATAAACTAAAAATTAAAAAAATCAGTAAGTAACTTCTCTTCACTGAAAAACAAGAGTAGGAAATACAATAAAGTGGGAACAAAAAAATAGGAAACCACACTGGGATGTCTCTGAGTCACTGTACTAACAAATCTAGGGACCTTCTATATTGAACTCCATTTATAAACTGTAAATCTTCAATTACATAAGAAATAAAGATAACAAACAAGGGCTTTCGGGGTGGTGTTTCCCATTTCCACATTTCAGAAAATGCCACTAGGAAGGGCTTCACTACCAAACAAGAGAGCAGGGAGGAGCCGGGAACTGGTAGCTTATAATTGTTCAAAGCCAGTCCAAGCAAGAAAGTTCATGAGACTCTTATCTCCAATGCACCACCAGAAAACCAGAAGTGGTACTGTGGCCCCAAATGGTAGAGCACTAGCTTTGAGTGAAAAGGGTTAGGGACAGCACACAGAGTTCAAGACCCACAACACAAGATAGAGAGATGGAGAGACAGACAGACAGACAGAGACAGACAGAAACAGGGACAGACAGAGATAGAAAGACAGAGACAGAAAGAGACAGAGCAGGGAGCAGCAAATGATCCATCTTGCCATCTTTCTTCAGTTCTGAATGAGACAAAGGTGACCCGAGGACTGATTGGTCAGGCCTCACTACTATGGATTACTCAGCATGACCACACCACTGGCAGGCTGTGAAGCAAGAAAAGGACAGAATTCTAGGAATCTACAAGAGTGAAGATGAAGCCAGATGACATCCAAGGATTTCTTAGTGAGACACAAGTTCCTGCTAGGACTATTTGAAAATCAAGCAGGAATTTATTTTGTTGAAAAAGAAGTTAATAAAATTAGCCTGGAGTAGAATTTTTCCCAATATAAATTACATAAAAAGTATCTTGTTCAGGGTTATTATCTCATTAAAGTTATGATATAATGAGAGAGGCTGTCTGCATCAGTTTTATTCAACAACAGTAGATCAGAAACTATTTCTATATTCAAAAGTAAGGCTTTCTTGGGATTCTATGAGCATCCCAAGGACTTTTACCATTGCTTAAATCCTTTTCTGCATCTGTCAAATTTGACATTCCCCTTAAAGCTAGAAGCTCCTATCCAGAAGCCAGTAGGTCAAACCTGTAATGGAAACTACTCAATGAGGCTGAGATCTGAAGATCAGTTCAAAGCCAGCCTAGTCAAGAAAGTCCATGAGACTCTTGTTTCTTGTTAACAGCTGTTTAGGCATCATTAGTTTCCTTTGTTACAGATCTTGGTCTTGGGTTAGTCAGAATTGGATGGCTTTCTGATTGGTGGTTCTCCTTTCTACTTCCCTTAAGATTGTGACACCAAAGATTTGCTGTTCCAGGGGCTGGGAAGGTGGCTCAGTGGTAGAATGCTTGCCTTGCATGCATGAGGCCCTGGGTTTGATTCCTCAGCACCACATAAGCAGAAAAAGGCAGAAGTGGTGCTGTTGCTCAAGTGGTAGAACGCTAGCCTTGAGCTGAAGAGCTGAGGGACAGCACCCAGGCCCAGAGTTCAGGCCCCACAACTTATAGTTCCATTCTTACAGTTTGTGTGTGTGTGTGTGTGTGTGTGTGTGTGTGTGTGTGTGTGTGTGTGTGTGTGAGAGAGAGAGAGAGAGAGAGAGACAGAGAGACAGAGAGACAGAGAGACAGAGAGAGACAGAGAGAGACAGAGAGAGAGAGAGAGAGACGGGGCCTGAACTCTGGGCCTGGGTGCTGTCCTTACCTCTTCAGCTCAAGGCTAGCGCTCTACCACTTGAGCCACAGCACCACTTCTGCCTTTTTCTGTTTATGTGGTGCTGAGCAATCATGCATGCAAGGCAAGCACTCTTCCAGGGAGCCACCTTCCCAGCCCTACAGTTAACTTTTGACAGATCAATTTATTATTTATTTAATAAATGATTATTACTAAAAATAACAAGCATAAAAGGGGCATGGGAAAGGTCTGCAAGAACTCTCCTATGATAGGAGACTCACTACAAAGACTCATGGGCCTTGGTATATAATTGTACCCCTGGCTAGTACAGACTGAAGCAGTACTGGGGTTTTAACTCAAGGTCGCATGCTTAGTTTCAGGCACATCACTATTGAACCATGCTCCCAGTACTTCTTTACTTAGTTTAACTATTTTCCAGAGAGGGTCTTGCACTTTTGTGTCAAGCTGGCATCAGAAAGCAGCAATTCTCCTACCTACACTTCCTGCAAATCTGGGATTACCTCCAGCTTTTTTTTAATTTTTAATGATTTTTATTGTGAAAATACTGTACAGAGGGGTTACAATTACATGAGCAAGGTAATGAATACATTTCTTATCAGGCATTGTTGCCTCCTCCAGCTTGATTTTTGAGATAGGGTTTAGCTAATCCTTTTTCCCTAGGCTGACCTTGAACCATGATACTCCAATTTCTACATCCTAAGTAACTAGGATTACAGACACGCACCACCACAGCTGGCCTACCATCCATGATTTTTATTAAGATGTCTTTCTGCATTACAGATATTGAAGTTCCACAGTCAAGTGAAGAAAGTCATATCCATTGCATGGTCTAGACAGAGAAAGATACCCTCACTAGTTAGGAGTTAGCTTAGCATCTGTTTATCACGGTTATCACAGCCCAACATTGCAAAGAAGTTCTTCCAAGGACAGATACATGTTATGGTGACCCTTTTCTACTCACACGACTACTTTTCCAAGTTTCTGTTCACTTGTGACCAACGGAATGGTACTGTCTCTAATTTGTGAAGTCTGTGCCCAAAAAAAAGAAAAGCTAAACAGAAAAGCTGCACATGAAATGAGTCACTCATTCTAAGTTTCCAATTTCAACATAAGATCCTTCATGATCTGGGAATGGACTCACAGCTGGTTGGAAATAGGACGCCAACCAATAAAATGCAATCCCCACATTCATCCTCAATGGGCAAACAGTCTCCATCCAAAAACCTTCAAGCCTACTTCTTGGCAGTTGCAGTCTGTTCATTTAAGGCCACTGTCAGTTTCCACACATGAGGTCGTGCTTTTTTTTTTTTTATCTCCAAGTCATATGCAATTCTTTGATCACTCTTGGTCAGCAGTTTTTGATACTTCCGGGTGAATGTGGAGATGTCACTTCCTGTCGAAACCCTCCCTCACACCTACAAGCGGCAAAGTGCTCTCCTTTGGGCTCTCCTCCTAAACTTCCCGACACCCAGATTCCTTACCTAAGGACTTTTAAAATGTAAGATCATCTTCAATAATGATGCCATAAGTCTTTATAAATAAAGTCCTTCACTAAGGGAACTAACCTACAAATGTGCTCTCAGTAATAAGGATAACCTCAAAAGATGAAAGAAAAATGCTGTAATTCTCCATTCACAAGGAGCTGCTTGACATATATTCTTCAAGGGTTTTTATCTCCTTTATGTCTGTGTCTTTCCTTTCTGTCTCCTCACATTTTGCCAGATGTCTCCATATCTCTATCCTAGTATCTCTTCCTCTTTTACTTTCTATTTAATTGCCTATGATAAGAAACTGAAGAAATAAGAAGCCAGTCTTGTGGGCATGCACACACGCACAGAGTTACTTGAAGGGGAGAAGGAAATGAATATTTTAAAGCAGTATCTGGCTTCTCAGTCTGCAGAATATGATAGGAGGAGACAGAGAAGTATCTATGTTACTGTCTTAGGAATTCTTAAAAGTCAGTCTCCACTTTAGGATGTAGGGGTGGCCTCTTGTTGCTCATGAACTGTTCCTGTTATTCTGCTGCTGTTTTAAATGTGGATCCATGGTGGATTGGTGCATTGTTATCAAGCAGTGCCAAGGGCCGAAAAGAAATCAGAGGTGAAGCTCTGTGGCCAAGGTTGTTATTTGTTGATTCAGATTCTTTATGGCTAGAGACTGAGAATGTGAAGTCTCTAAAGCTAAGGAGACAATTCCTTTAACGCTGCAA